ACCTGGTCTGCCTGCTAAAGCATTCTTTGCCAAGACTACAGAAAGGCACTAGGGAGGCCTTCCAGAAGCCACATTGTCGTCCCCCTCCCCAAAATTAAGCCAGCAGGTATCTTTGTCTAGCTATCAGTTGCCACCAAGTCTTTACCCTCTGACCCAGAAGCTGGAAGAGCAAAGTTCATCCCCCATGATGCAGTGATAAAACAACCTGGTAAAGCCACCCAAGTCCAGGGGTTCTCACAAAGCAGCTGCATTCTCAAGGAGACCCAAATGAAAGAGCATTGATGTGCCCATGTCAGCCAGCTCTGGCTGTTGCAGTTAGAGGAACCAGTCAGAATCCTGCGGTCAGAATACTCCTGGGATATCCCAGGGCCAAGAGTCTGTCAGCCAGAGCATGGGAAGCCTGCCCTGTGTGTCAGCTGCTGCCCCAAAGACCTAAGCCTGACAGCATTCAGAAGACCCAGACATGGAGAAGGAGGAAGGCTGCAGGGGCGGAGCAGGCAGGCAGGTCCCTGGACAGATACACTCAGGGCTGGAGCCAGACCCTGTCAACAGGGGACACCCTAAGTGGGAGGCCATACATTACAGTGTCTGAAAGCTTTCCAAGCCAACCCCTGGCTTCAGAGAGGACAGGCTGGAAGGAAAATGGTAAGAACACAGGCAGTTGGTCAGCCTCCCTCCTCCTTCCCATGAAAGCCAATACCCTTTCCCCCGGAGGTGTTGGGGAGCAGTGTCTAACTCTGGACATCTTGCATCTCACTGTCCTTTCCCCTTCTAAGTTAGGAGCTCCCTGGTTGTGAAGTGGGGCTAACAGTTTACTCAGAGAGCTGGAAGATGCCGTCTGTGAACTACATCACACACTGCTTGCAGCTTCACAGACCTCTTGGAGATGGTGGGTGGGCTTTAACCAGTGAGTTTACACAGTAGACTGGTGTGCTCCCCACTCCCTATCCCATTCTCTGAAGCCCATCATCTCTGAAGTTTGAGAGAAAAAAGAAAAACCAGAAGACCTCATATAAGCACCCAGCCAGAGGCAACCCACTTCCCTGAGATGAAGTTTCTGAGCATTGTCTTCCACCTGGGGCTGGAGAACTTAAAGGCCTGGTTTCTGTTGGGAAGTTGTAAACAGCTATGTCCCTCCCATGCCCACTGTGTGTCCTGCTCCTCTCCAGGAACTGCTGGAACAAAGAACCACAAAAGCCACAAAGCAAAGGGAGTCAGGTGCCCACAGCACTCCCTCTCCAGTCCTCCACTCAGCATCTCTCCCATTGCCCCATCCCAGCCAGGTACAAGCGCCTGACCATTTCCATCCATTCCCTACCCTGCTTGTATTTTCTTTCACCTGCCACCTACACAGGCTGGGCACTAGAGGAAAGCATGGGAGACGAGTATCCCTACATGCACTTTCATGTCCCCAGGGAGTTCTGAACAGACAGTATAAACTGTAGGTCTAAGAACAAGCCCTAGCAACAAGAGTACACACTACTACAGCCCTGACATCTGTAAGTTTGGGTTTAGGAATCCCAGGATTACGTGTGCCCCCCACTCAATCCTACCCCTCACTGCCCTTCTTCCTTGTCTCTCCTGTTGGAAAGTCTGAAGTAGAAAGTTCCAAGAAGTCTCTTTGAGGAGAAGAAGCCAGGTGAGGACATGAAAGCAAATAAGAATAAAATACAACGGCGTGTGTGTGGGTGTGTGTGTGTGTGTGTGTGTGTGTGTGTGTGTGTGTGTGTGTGAGCGCGCGTGCGCTCGTGTGCGTGTGTGCACGCAAATGCCATAATAAAACCCATTACTTTGTACACTAACTAAAAAACACTAAAGAGGGGGGTGGGGAAATTCCTTCAAGTTCTCCTCTAGGAGGCACTGGGGAAAGAAGGATAGGAAGACGCTGGTTTGGCAGCCCACCAGTGTATGTCTAGACACAGGCTACAATACAGAACACCTGCATGGTGCTCACCTTAGATGTCTGTGGCCATGGCTCCTGCTAGTCCTTCTTTCTCTCTGGCAGGCAAATGGGGAGGGAAGGCAGTAGAAAGGGGCCTCCAACTAGGCATCCAGAAGAACAAGCAGAACCAGGGGTATATCTGACTGCAGTACCCCAACCCTCATCACTACAAAACAGCAGTAAGAGTGAGCATCTCTGAGTCCCTGAGGGCACACCTAAACTCCAGGGACCCAGAGGAGCAGTCCTACTGCATAGATGTGGCAACATCTCACGCCACCCTTTTAATAGCCCCAAGCAGAACCTCGAAGGCCCTTTGGAAAGGCCAGGGGCCCCAGGCCTGCCCAGACAGACCTCCAAAGCCCCTCCACATGTCACCCCTCTGCCCACAGTGGACAGAGCTGCCCATGGGAAAGTCTCCTCTGAAGCATTTAGCTTCTGTGAGGTTAGGGCTGTCGCTCAGTGGTAGAGTGCATGTCTGGCAGGCATGGTACCCTAGATTTAATCCCTAGCACTGCAACAAATAAGCAAACTCTCCAGCCCTCCACCATTTCAGGGGCTATCTTCTGGCTTCTCTAGGTTGCACAAGTCCTGGGAACCAGCAGTGGGTCACTGCTCTCCAGAACAAGTAAACTCACCTTCTTGGCCATCCTGAGATGGAGACAGCCCAGGTGCTGAAAGAAGAGCCTCCCTCTCACCCCAGCAATTCCCCCATTGACTCCCACCTCCAAAGTCATCCTGGGCATATTAGCCAGACTTTTTGAGTAGTTTAAAACAGATAAGGGACTCTGGGGACCCAATTCCACCCAGCAAGCTAGAGGAGACTAGGGTAGTCCCAGCTGTCTGAGACCCCAGCCCTGTCTGATGACACACACGCCCTGTTGCTCCTGTCACTCGAAGGCACTTACAAGGCTTGGTCCTTCCTGGGCTTGAAGAAGAGTAGTGTCAGTGTCTCGGCTGGAGCAGACGGGCTGGGGAGCCGGCTGGGTGAGGGGTTTAAAGGACGCCAAGGCAATGATGTCACCTCTCAGCGGCCCGCTAGCGCCCCTCCTACCTAAGGAAGCCCACTGGGCTCCCCACCCCCGGCCGCCCCACTCACTCCACACAGGCTCCATATTTGGGGAAAGACACCAAGTTGGAGCAGTCTGCCGGGGGCAGCGGGAGACATTCTCTGCATGCTTTGGAGATGCTGCGCGCTGGGGCGGGGCGGTGCTGAGGGTGGAGGGAAAAGCCTTTTATGGGCAGGACCCTGAAAGCCTTCCTTGCTACCCCGACTTGGGTCTGCTCTTAGCTCTGTCCAATCAGAGTGAAAGGAAGAGGTGCTCTAAGGAGTCTGGCCCCACAGAGAAATATCCTAGGGGGCAAGGGTTCCCCTAAACTTACGGGAGACAAAGCTACCCTCTTCCAGGGCCTTAAACTCCAGTTGGTGTGGAAACTAGTTTTGACTGCAGATTGTTGGAATGCCAGGCAGTATACAAATGCCTTCCTTCACACTCCAGGTTGGAGTTACTACCCTATTTGACAGTTGGGGAAACTGAGGTTCAGAGTGGTCTTCCCAAAGCCACTGAGTGGCAGAACCTAGGTACTCCTGTCCACTGGTGTGGGAGCCGGAGAGAATATCACTCCCTGCTCAGGGTGGAGGGAGCCCCCAGTTAGATTAGGGGGTGGGATTTGATAGCTCAGCAGCAAGTCAACCCTGGCCCCATCCAGGGCAGTGACAAAATAGGGTGTTTGAGGCCATGGAGATACTAGGGTAAGAGGACTAGAAAAAGCAGGGTCATTCCCTCCCTCCCCTCAAAACAGGCCCTATCTTGGCAGATTCTATCATCCCAGAAAGGACACTCATTCACATCTTGCTTGTACCTAGCTACAGCAGTCTTGAGAAGCCACAGGGAAGAATGGTGAGCCTGGGGCTCAGTGGTTAAAGATACTTACTTCCTGTCAAGCCTGATGACTTGAGTTCAAGTCCCATAACCCACATAGTGGGAACAGAGAACCAACTCTCCTCTGACCTGCATATATATGCAATGCCACACACAGACACACACATTCCATAAATACATGTATTTTTTTTTTTTTTTAAAGGTAAGGCTTTAGCGGAGACTCTGTGTTCCGCCCCCAATTCTGGAAATTTCAAGAAAGGGATAGAGAGGAAGATAGGGGAGGGGTAACGATCCTTAGGCAGGGTCAGCCTCCCCCAGGACTGTCAGCTGGCAGGGGAGGTTCAACCTCAGAAACTTCACCTACTACAGCCTACCTGGCTAACAAGCTAGTAGCTTGGTACCATGGTGCATAGAGCTACAGCACCCCCTAGTGGCATCTGAAGGGAGAACCATAAACAGTAAGCTGGAGATCACCTAGAGAAGACCACACTTGAACTCCCGGACACTGGTTATATTCTGAATTCACCAGACAGGATCTCAAAATCACATCCTCTCTTGCTGAAATCTTGGGTCCTGCTTGCCACCCACACGGTCAGTTCTGAATAACCGTTTTGTTTTCTTTTGAGAGAGGGTTTCTCTACGTAGCTGTGCCTGTTCACCAGGCTGGCCTCAAATTCAGAGTTCATCTGCCTCTATCCCCAAGTGCTGGGATTAATGATGTACACCACCACCACCACCACCACCACCACCACCACCACCACCACCACCCAGTCTGAACAGCCTTGAAAACCTTGGTCTGCACGCTCTCTGCCCTCTTCAGGTGCATTTATGGGCATGACCTGGATATCCACCTGTCTTCCTGCTCAGCTGATTGGAAGGGATATTGGCCTCCACCTGGTGGGAGAGGCAGGTGCTGTGTGCCTGCCAGATGAAGGGTGCTGTCCCAGGGGAGAAGACACAGACACATCTTCAGTATCTCACTTCTGTCAGCACAGTGCTTGGTGCAGAGTAAAGTGTTTACAGAATTAACAGGTGGCCTGACGATGAGGAATGCTTTGGTGGGATCCAGGAACTGCAGTTTCCAATGCAGCCATGCACAGAAAGGAGAGGGGGAAGCCAGAAGAAATGGGACAGGGAGGCTCCTGCACCACCCCAACAAAAGAATAAGAGCCCAGATGTCAGGTCTGGTTGTCTTTATTGAATGTACTCATTCATAGAAACAGAATTGCAACCATAGCATGGAGACACAGGACAGAGCTATGAAACAAAGACCCAGACCTGCCTCTTTCCCAGCCAGAGCTATAAAAACATGGTGGACAGAATGAAATACATTCCAGGACCCCAACCCCTTGGCATCCGGAATGGACTTGGTGGAGTGAAACGGAGCCAAGGACCAGAGTGGCCAGGGCCCAGAGCTGGGTGACTCCATGTAAACACCAAGGCTCTTAGGCCCATGTGACTAACACAGAACTTGGCTAAATACTGGACGGAAACTCAGAAGCCAGCCCTGAGTCCTATAGTGAGGCAGGGCCAGGGACAAACAGGGACCTGGCATGTCCCTCCCTTTCTAAAGCAGGCACTGGGGCTCCTGCTCCCGTGAAAGAGGCAAAAGGGGCTGTGTGCTTGGCACCATTCCTCCATGGCCTCTGACATTCTTGGGCAGTGTCAATGGCACTGAGAGATCCCCAGCTGGGGCTTGGCAGGACTGTGGGTGTGCAAGGGGACAGTGAGTTGCCACTTCCCACCAACCCTGGTGCTGGCATCATTCTGGTGGCTGGTGGGATGAGGAAGTGACCTCTGAGTTCAGCCCCCAGATCAGACTCCAACTGGACTGACTCACTGCTCAAGAGCCAGCTCCAAGCACAGGGCAGAGGGAGGAAGGTCGTACCTAGGCCCTTGCAGCCCTTAGCACCATTAACCTGGCACCAGTTGGCCAGCCCCCAAAGTCTCCTACCTGCATCCATCCTGGCAGGCCAGAGTGGGCAGTGATAGCAGCCAGCTGTAGACCCAGAGAGAATTGGGGTCCTGGTGCTGGACAGAGAATCGGGCACCAGACCAGGGTTCTAGAGCAGAGCATGAGAGCAAGGGCAGGCTGGGGGTCCTACGTTGAGAGGGAGAATGAAAGGCATGAAATGGGACAGGGCATTGCCCTCCCACCTTCCTTCTCCAAAGGGACAAATGGAGAGCCAGTGGATAGACGAGACAGATGGATGGACAAGGGTCCTCGGGAGGACCCAACACTGAGAAGAAAGCAGCAATTTGGCCAGTGTTTGAGGAATGGAGAGCAGGCCTCTTCCACAGCAGAGGCAACTGCAAGGCTCGATGCCACCAGCAACTGTCCTGAGTCAGGCCTGGGCTGGAATCTCCAAGTCCTGCCACGCCATCCAACACTGGCCAGCAGAGCCGGGACTCACACCCTTGGTGCTATGGTGGCACCTGGCAGGTGATGCAGAGGCGCTTGGGGCCCCCATGAGGTGAAGCCTGGATCCTAGGATGCTGCTAGAAGACATAGATCTTGTCCCGCTGTACTGTGTCCAAGTCGTCATCCAATGTCAGCAAAACCTAAAGGTGGACAGAGGGTCAGGCACAGGAAAGGAAGAGCAGTCTACTCTACCACCCCCTCTGCCCTCAGGCCAGGTACTTCACACATACCAGGAAGGACCCAAACATGGCAATGGAGGACAGGAAGTGCCAGATGTCGTGGTCATCAAAGAAGTCAAGCAGGATACAGTCACGGTTGTGTTCCCTGGACTCTGCGGGGGTTTTCTGGCAGAGGGACAGGGCCAGCAGCCTACTGACTCTGCTCTGGCGAGGCCAGGTCCAAACCCACCTCTGACCCACTCCATGCCACCACCCCCATCCCTAGCAAGAAGCACCCTGCTCTGGCTCAGGCCTCACTCTCACCCTCCATGGCTAACAATGGCTTTTCTCAAATAAACTTCTCGTCCCTTCAGTACACCTTCTCTTTATAGCCATGGGCAGACGGCTGGGATCATCACACGGCTTCTACTCAGAAAGCCCCAGCTCACTGCCTGCTGGGGCTTGGCCTTGCTCTCAAATGACCTCAGGGTGGTTTTGCCCCAAGTACTATAGCAGGCCATGCGCTGTTCCCAGACAACAGTGGCCATGGCTGACACTCCAGATCCTCTCTACTCTACCCACACCTCTATGCCACAAACATTTTCTGACCCTATGTCTGAACAGCCTGTGCTGAGGACACAGACCAAGACAAGTCTGACCCCATGGAGTGCACCGGTCTTTGCCAAGCTCCCAAATCAGTGTGTGCTTGCACATCAAAGTTGCCTTGGTCATTCTAACCTCTGTGTGATTGCTCAGGTGACAGTGGCTGAGTTACACAGCTTTATCCATGAGACTATGGCCAGGAACAGAGCCTGCTTCCTCCAGAAAGCTCTCCCAGGTCTCCTAACTCAGAAGCCTCACCCTTCTCTCTCCTGCACACTCTGCTAACTTGACTTGCTTTTGTCTTTCATTTCAACATGAACTAGATATGGGGGTGTGTGGGTTAGTGTCAGAGCATGTACTCAGCCTGTGCAAAGACAAAGTTTTGATCCTTGGCTTTAAACAAAAAAACCAGACATGAGCTACCAGTGTCTCTTTTGAACTAGACTATGAATTCAATGCTGTGTAGGCAGAGGTCATATTATGTTCCTATTTTGTTTTTCTAGATAAGGTTTCTCTATGTGGCCCTAGCTGTCCTCTGTAGACCAGGCTGGCCTCAAACTCACAGAGATCCACCTGCCTCTGCCTCCTGAGTGCTCGGATTAAAGACACATGCTACCACCACCTGGCATGGCATATTCATTTCTATCACAGATTTATAGCCTGATGTACACCAGGTGTCCTCTGAGGTAATAAGAAAATGAGCATGCCTGCCTGTAAACCACATCTGCCACACACTAGCTCTATGCTGTGGGGGACATCGCTTGGTGTCTCTGACACTCAGTTGCATTTGAGGTAACAAGACTAGATTTCCATGCTGATCAGAAGATTTTAGTGAGACATCACTAGGAAAAGCCTGGTCCCAGGTGGAGAACTTGCTATGGGTTGGCTTGCTACAAGCCTGGAGGTGACTACTCACCTGCCATGTGCTGAGTCCTTGGAAGAAGAAGAAAAGCGCAAAGCCCCAGACCACAGAGGTGCAGATGATGCAGAGTAGGGGGATAAGCTTGATCCTCTCTCCACTGCGGAGCTAGGGAGAACATGCGGCCATCAGCCAGGCCACTGCCCACCTTCATGTTCTTACTCGGGTCCCTCCCAAATTTACAGGGCCCAACCACTGAACTCAACCAAATCTCATGCAGGCACCCTTGTGTCTTTACCCACTATTTAATTTAGATCCCTGGGCCAACAAAGGCACTATGCAGGCAATCCGTCATACTGTACAACATGGAAGGCCATTGGGGGGGGGGGAACCAGTCCTCAGAGGCCTGGTCTATCACAGGTTCAGTGAATCAGACTAGGACATGGCTTGGTGGCAGAGCACTTGCTTAGCGGTTGGCTCCCAGGGGTACATGCAAGAGATTCAAGTCACCCCTCAAACCTCACTGTCATAGATACAAGAACAGAACAGTTCCCTCCTCTCGGTGCCCCACTGTCTCTGTGACTGAAGCTGTTCAGCCCTTCCCATTCACCTTCATAATGATGTAGAAGGCGAAATACAGCAGTAGGTTGCAGATGCCAATTGCCAGCAAGTAGGAGGCAAAGTCATTGGGGCGCATGATAAGTCCATATGCAGCCCTGAAATGAGGGGTGAGTCAGGGGGAGGAGGAAGGGCCTCATCTCTGCCCACGCCCCACCATGGCTCATCATTATATTGGACTGTGTTTGGAGGCTCACAGAAAGTTCTAGAAACCCAGGGGCTAACACCTCTGTTTGGTCCCCATTCTTTATGTTCAACACTTCAAAATTGTCTCTAGTCCCCTAAATCAGCTTGTGGCTGACTGTGTCCCCAGCTGACTCCACAACCAATGGCCACACTCACAGAGACCAGTTGATAATGTTGCCCATGACCAGAAGTACCATGCGGTCCTGAAGGGAAGCAGAGACACAGGGACTGAGAGGGGTAAGAGAGACAGGGGGACAAGTGGCAGAAGGCTCAGGTCAGCCTATCCCCACACTACCCTGTGTTCTCTGACACACCTTGATCCCACAGGGAGGAGGGAGTCAGAGGAGGAAGGGGTTAGGGAGCTGGGCAGGTACCGTATAAAGAGGCCCGCTGCACTGCCGGATGCAGTCTGTGTAGAGCACGTGGAGGATGCGGCGGAAGATGCCAGAGTCTGCAATGAGAAGGTGTGGCATTGACATGGCACGGTTGAGAGGAACCAGGTACTTCACAGCACAGCATTGTCAGGGAGTCCTCTCAATTCCCACCCACTCACTCCTCCAGCCCAGCCCAACAAATCAAAAGTCCCTTGTGTGTCCAGATGCCCAAGGTCCCCCACACCCTCATATACCCTGCCCTGGGCATGACTTTACCCAACTTCCAACGGCCCATGTAGTAGAGCTGTGTGCTGAGGAGCAGGGTGGAAATGATATGGATGACCGAGAAGACGATCCAGAAGGCTGTGTTCCCTTTGCCAAAAACCTGTGGGGAAGCCCCCAATGTGGGGTGAGGGGGCACTGACGGTAGCTGTTCCCATGCCCTCCTTTGTCTGCAATCTTACTAGACAGGCTGTTTGGTTAGGCTGCAATAATTTAGGGGCCCAGGATGGCCCGTTAGAGAAGAAGCAGGACCTCTCCAGCAGTGGAGGACAGGACGAGTGTACCCCCATGTGCATGCATGTGCCTTTCCCACGGGATGTGCAGAGTAGAGTACACCCTCACCACGCCCAGAACGGAGAAGAAGATGACAATGGCCAAGCAGGCATATGCACTGTAGGCACTGGCGTTGATATCTGGGTGCCGCTTCTGGTAGAGCTTCAGCATGCAGAGGCCGGCAATCATATACATGAATGATGTGTCTGGGTAGAAACAGTGTGAGCTAGAGACACCCACAGGGACTCCACACAGAATTCCCAGCCCGGACAACCAAAGAGTGCCTTGAAATGTCATGAGCAAGTTGGAGGGTCAACGCTTTAGCCCCTTAACTGCCCCTGAATCACACCCTTTTTGCCAGTCTGTTGCTCTGAGGTTAAGGACAACTTATTTGAACACCCTGAAGTTAGGAAGTGTTTCCTGAGGGTTTTGTCTTTTCAGTTTCTGTAGGAATGACTGGAAAGGAGGCAGGACAGACGGCCATCTTCTTTTTTGTTGTTTTTTCAAAACAGGTTCTCTCTGTGTAGCCCTGACTGTCCTGGAACTCACTCCATAGATCAGGCTGGCCTTGAACTCATAGAGATCGCAGATAAAAGGTGTGCACCACCACTGCCTGGTTTACCTGACCATCTTCTAGTATGGGAAGCTGCACTCAGAGGCCAGCCTCCAAGGTTGGTGTCCTGGGATGGTAGAGGTTCAACCAGACAAGGAGACAGCACTCACCAAACTGGAAGTTGGTATAGTTGGGGCAGACGTGGTAACAGGCACTCAGCAGCCCCTCCATCATCAGCGCTGTGCCCATGGCATAGAACAAACCAAAGTGTTTGGGGATCCCACACTCCTACAGGCAGAAAGAGAAGGAAAATAAAAGTGAGGTGGGAAGAGAAGGGTCCTGAGGGGAAGAGAGGAGAAAAAGGCCTGGGCTATGTAGTGAGTGGGTAGTAGCAAGACAGGGCAGAATAAAGTAGGGCAGGGTAAAACAGCTGAGCAGGGAAGGGGTAAGGAGAGCAGGGCAAGAGTGTAGGGTAGAGCAGAAGGCAAGGAAGAGTAGAAGAAATGTGTGCAGGAGAGAACCCAACAAGGCCGAGCAAGGCAGGCAGTCCTAGGCAGGGCAGACTTGGGCAGGGCAGGGCAGGGCAGGGCAGACTTGGGCAAGGTAGAGCAGAATAGGGCATGACAGGGTCAGGATAGATAGAGCACAGTTGGATTAGACAAAGTCAGCTTGCCAGGTGGGGAGGCCTTGGTGGATAGCGGCTGGCTTACCAGAGCGTAGAGGTCATTCCGCATCAGGGCCCGGTTGTGATTGATCTCTCGCTGCAGAATGATGAGTAGGAAGAGCAGCCCCAGCAGGATGTACCCCAGGTTGCTGAGGATGTTGTTGAAGGCGCTGGAAGGCACAAGATAGGTACTTAGCTTATACTCAGGCCCTTCCCTTTCTTTTGCCAGCAGGCTTCACAAAGCCCCATCCTGCTCTGCTCACTGCTGCCTACCCTACTCACCCCTAGGCCAGCAAATCCCCACCTGAGGTTGCCCAGTGGGTGGGCACAGAGGAAGTTGTAGTAGCAGATGTCCTGGTTCCCTGTGACATTCACCACCTATGGGGGCAGGAGTGCAAAGCTATTTATTAACATGCCACTCAGCAAGGAGCCCGTGCCACACCCCTGGGTTCAACTGGCAAGTCAAGAGCAGTACCAGCCAGACTGACATGAATGTACACAGTACCCAGGCTGCTGTTCCTTTAAGAGACTAAGTGTGTGCATGAGCATGTGGTGTGTGTGCGCGCGCACGCGCGCACGCACACTCTTTAGGTGGCACAGATGCCTGCCATTGTCCTCTTTATATATGTGACCCAAAACTTCTTGCTTCACAGTAAGGGTAGGGGAAGGGAAATCACACTCACAAAGTCCTATGACCTCTATTTTGTAGATCCCACCCCAGCTTCACTTTGCCTCCAATCTGCAGATGAAGAAACTGTTCAGAAGCCCAGCAAAAGCAAAACTGGGATCTGAAAGCTGGTCCCTTGACCTATGACCTATGTTCACAGCAGTCTCTGCCTGTGGCTCAGCATGGTGAGGATCACAGACAAATGCTCCAACCCTCATCCTCTCACCGTCTGGTAGGTGATGACCAGCTGCACCACAGGAAGGGCGTAGAAGACCGCAATGGTGGCTATGTTCCTGAAGGGCGGGAGGGCCGTGGTAAGGTGGGCAAGACCCAAGGAGCTGCCCCGTAGTAACAGGAGTCCCTGTCTGTGTAGCCCACTCACCAGAAGTAAATCTGGTACTTTTTCCGCAAAACACGTTTGTCCTTTCGTGCCAGATCAGCCACACAGAGGTATTGCTGAGGAGAAGCAGGAGTGAGCTTCACTTAACCAGCACCTGGGGGAACCCTGACAGAATTCAGTGAGCAAGATTCTGGGATGCCCCATTTCTGTGGCTAGTTAGGCCCAGAGGGCTTGCCCAATTAGTCTGGAAGGGACTGGAGGTCACGCTGACTTCTCCTGGAACCCATCCTACCTGTCCCAGATCAGCTCTTTCCCTTCATCTCCCTAACAAGCCACAGAGACATGCTGGGTGTGGCCACAACACAGAGCCCCTTCCTCCAGAAACCCGCTGACCAGCGCCAGGCCATGTATGTCAAACCTTGGTGCGAATAACATTTTTGTCTGAATCAATGTCAGTCAACGTGTCATAGTCATCCTCTTCCACAGAGCTCATGGAGTCCAATCGAGGCCGAGTACCCACTGGGTCAAAGGAGCGGTCTAGGAACAGCAAAGAAAAAGGGTGTGGGCCAGTAGGACCAAACACTGGGTCTGCCCCCACCCATCAGAAGCAACTGTCAAAATTATTCAATAATGGGGGAGAGGCGAATTGTGGGCCAAGGCTCAGAGCAGTAGGGCAGGTGGCTCAAATGCTGGGAGGAGATGCACTCCTAACTCAGCGGGAACCAGTGGGGAGTTCTGCCAGAGGCCACTGAACAGGAATGACCCCAGCCCTGCTCTACTCCTGGCTCTGGTCCCTGAGCTAGGGCTTTCCAGGCTAGGATACTAGTGGACCCCCGACACAAGTAACAGGACTGAACTTAGCCAATCATGCAGATTAAAAGGTGCCCAGTCCTACTGGGTTCTGAGAAGACATGCCATGGCCACCCTTAGTTAAAGCCCTAGTATATAGGAAAGGGTGTGAGAAATAGCACCCATCCTCTGTCCTCATCTCCTGCCTTCACAAGCCTCCTCCTGTTACCCCACCTGGCCAAAGCCCCTAAAGGCCAGAAGGTGAGACCCAGACCCAGGATCCCTTGGCCAGCAAGTCAGGGAGGGAGGACACTGGCAAGAAGACAGCAAACTAGGACATCTTACTGGCAGCCAGTGCCTGTCTATCTCAGAAGACACATGGGCTGGCACTGGTACCACTTGATAGGAAAGCCATGCACTAAGCATCTTTCTGGCCCCAGAGATGGCCAGTCCCATTGACCGACCATCCTGGCAGGAAGTGATTGGCAGGGCAGCCCTACCCCCTCCCCACATCTACCCATGGCAATGCACAGCTGCCGCATCTGGCCAGAGGGAAGGCGCCGCTTGAACTGGTCGTGCCCTTCAAAGGAAAGGGAAAGTTACAGGGGAACTGAGGCCAAGTAGGAAAGAGGAAAGGAAGAAGAGGGCCAAAGAGCAGCCCTTCCCTGGTTCCAGCATCTGGCAGAGAGGCAACCGCCCACCAGGAAGTTTCACCTAGTCAACAGCAGCCCTGCAGCACACACCCACTACCTGGCCCACTCACCCTGGTAACCGTAAGAGACGTCCCCTGAACCTGTGCTTTCAGCCAGCCCATCAGTGGATCCGGAAGCATTTTCTGCAGGCAGGAATAAGTGGTGAGCCAGGTGGGAGTGACCTTAGAACAAGACTCCAGATCTTTTCCTAGAGAGCCCTGAGTAGCTGCAAGGGCAGCAGAAGCTATCGGTGGGCATGGGCAAATACAGTCCTGACTTTGACACATACCAAAGGAGCCATAGTTGTAACCCTCGTAAGGGGCACTGCCAGGAAAGGAATCAGCCAAGACCCGATGATGACCTGTAATGAGAAGTCAAGGTCCACTTAGGCCTGTGAGCAAAGGGAAGCCTGGAGCCAGGGAAAAAGGGAAGGGAGAACCTGGAACAGCCATGCCAGCAGTAAGAGAGAACTTAGATCCCAACACCCACCCCACCCAACAACCACATCACTCCATGCAGAGATGCCACCCTGTGTCCTAAAAGTGGGAATAAGCTGGGCCTGTAATCCTAGCCCATGTCTGTAATCCTAGCATTGCCAAGCTAAGACAAGGTGAGTGCTACATGTTTGGGGCCAACCTGGACTACATAGTCAGTTTCAGGCTACCCTGAGCTATGGATGAGATCTTGTCTAAAAAGAAGTATTAATTAAAAAAAAAAAGAAGAAGAAAGAAAGAAAGAAAGAAAGAAAGAAAGGAAGGAAGGAAGGAAGGAAGGAAGAAAGAAAGAAAAATTGAGAGAAGATGGTCAAGGAAACAACATATCTAAGCCACCAAGGAAAAGGACATCTAGTGCCTAAATCCCTCCCTAGACAGCCTCATGTTTCACCTTCCTTCCCCTGGGCAGCAGCTCCTCTGCCCACAGCGCCTGGGGCTTACCAAGGAGAGAAGCTGAGAGAGAGGTCCAGGCAGGAGGGAAGGCACAGAGAGAAGTGACGGAGGAAAGAGAGAGAATGGAAAGTTAATCACCTGAGACTGCACTGCACTGCCTGAGGCAGGCTGGCAGTGTAACAGGCTACCAGTACAAACCAGAGGACAGTTTCCAGAGTACCTATGGAGGGTCGAGCCAAGACCCCAGCCTGTTTCCACTTAGGAAATGTTACTCCTAGGCTGAACATGAAGAAGCCACCAACCTGCCCTCCTCTGACCCTTCCCTTCCCCAGCCCTGTTCCCCATTTCCCCACAACAGATCCACCCACCCCCTGTTCCCTGGAGATACCACTTTCTGGGCAGGCTCGGTCTATGGCCACCAGCAGAGTCTTCTTCCTTTGCCTGCAGGAATTCGAGAACAATTGCAGCTAGCCTAACCTTCCTTCTATCTTCTCTATCCATATAACCCCTGAATCCTGGGTTTCTCCCACACCAGAGAATAATGGGGTGTCCCCAGCTTGGGAAGGGATGTAAACAGGATGAGCCTGTTTACAAAGAAATAGTCTGTGGACCACAGATCCCAACAAGGTCCCGTCTTGCCCACCCCGAAGACATTTAAGACCACCCTGGGCCAGTTGGGTTCCCATCACATTGTCTGTCCGGTGCCCTCTGTCCAACCACTTTAGAGCAGGAACAGCCCCGCAGCTACACCTCACCTCCAGTTCTCCCAGCAGGCCAGGAGTACAGTCAGCAGGTAGAAGGAGAGGAATATGCCCAGGCAGAAGAGCATACCACCAACATAGGCCTCAGCTATGGGGAGGGAAAGAAAAAGGTGAGTACAAGAACACAGCAGCCCTTCCCATGCTGCCTCTGGATGCCCAGGGACCACGGGGGATCTGGTTCCTCTTTCCCTGAAGGCAATGCCCAGCCAGCATGAACACCGGCTATTGCTCAATAAACCAAATTCTGGCATGAGCCCATCTACTCAGGTTGTTTCCTAGAACGTTCTCTCCTACTTCAAAAAACTCCACGTTGGCCTAAGCTTCAAACTATAGCTCAGAGGTTGGTGCCTCTAGGTGGCCTTCTCTGATGTACATTCCCACAGTGACCTGTCCTTTGCTCATACCAGCTCTCAGGACCCTACAGAGCCCTCCTTGCCCCCACCTAAAGCTGTAGTTCTAGCATATAACAGGGCTCAATTAGTACTGAGTAAATAAGCCACCGGAGAGGTGGCTCTCCCTTCTAACACAATCCCTTATTTTCTACTTAGTGTGTTTACTGGGTTTGCAACTGCTTTTTTTAATATGCAGTTATTTTTGTTTTTATGTGTGAGTACTTTGCTTGCATGTATATGTGCACCATCACATGGGTGCCTATCGAGGCCAAAAGAGTTTATCAGATCCCATGGAACTAGAGTTACAGATAGTAGTGAGTGGCCATGTGGGTGCTGCGGGTTACTACTTGGATCCTCTGGAAAAGCAGTCAGTTGTTTGTTTGGGTTTTTTGTTTGGTTTTTGGTTTTTCAAGTCAGGGTTTCTCTGTAGCTTTGGAGGCAGTCCTGGAACTCGCTCTGCAGACCAGGCTGGCCTCGAACTCAAGAGATCCTCCTGCTTCTGCCTCTTGAGTGCTGGGATTAAAGGTGTACGCCAGGTTCAGCCCCAGTTGTTTTCATTGCTGTTTATATTGTTTTTGGTTTTTGAGACAAGGTCTCATGTTCAGACTAGCTTTGAACCCATGACATAACCAGGGATGAGTCTGAGCTGATCTTCCTGTCTCTACCTCCCAACTGCTGGAATTAAAGAGGGGTGTGCCACTGTGCCAAGTTCCTTATTTCGATCTTATATTCTTTAGTTCAGAAAGGATCCCATTTAAAAACTCATTAGACATTGTTGAGCACTGACTAGGGGCCCAATATTCTAATTCTGGCTAAACCAACAACAGACAGGGGTCAGAGATTCCACTGCTAAGTGGCAGGGAGTGAATGAGAGCTTACTCTTCAGTTTTGGCCATGGAGCCTATCCCATATTACACTCAGATCTACCTTCTGAATTTCTCTGGCTAGATGCCTGCTCAGAACACTCCTTTCCATCTCAGTGTCTGCTGAGTAGGAGGATCCTTGCCACCCTTTCCATTCAAAGAACACATGCTTTCCTGGGTCTGAAGAAGCAGGGAGGTCTGTCTATCTTTCTCAGATACCCACACTTACATGTGACAGCTTGAGAAACCAGCACTGATAGGGTTTTCTGACGATGCCCTTGATCCACTGGTTCATCTGGAAGTAAAATATCAAAATGGAAAAGAAATGGTTGCTTGGAACTTAGGTAGGGTTGGTGGAACATGGCCTCAGAGAGCCTAGGGCCCCAAACTCATGTCTTATTGGCTCCACCAATAGCCACCAATAGCTACACAGTAGCTCTTGTGTCTCCTAGGAAGCCAATGACCCATCCCCAGACAGTGCATGAAACATACCTTCCACAAAAGGATAGAAGGGCAAGGACCCTCCACAAGCCTGGTCCTCAGTCTTCACCACCACCACTACATAAAAGCTGTTACTGGGGAAGTCTTTCCGCTGTAGAAGGAGGAGGACGAAGACAGTAATGACCACCATCGCCACCATTTTTCTCTGAATCTGAACTTTGGACCAGATGCTGTAAGATCTTCCTATATATAAATTACTCAATCCTTGCAAAGATCCCCCTCCCTCATGTTTCTGTGAAGTTGAGGGTCTAATACATGGCCTCTCAAATGGCAGGCAGATGCTCTACTACTGAGCTACACCCACAGGAGAGATTCTGCTGTTATCCAGTTAGGGCTGGAGCCAAAATCTGTACCCACACTCTAGCCAGGTGAACAAATGAATGAGCTTGTGGCCTGCACAGATTGTCTGGGGCACCAGCAAGAAGAGATGGCTCCACTCACACATAACAGAGAACCCGAACGTACAGAAATGGAATATGGGGGTGGCGAAGAATCCAGCAACACTAAAAGGCTTCTGAATGTGTGACAATCAAAAATTATCCAAAATCAAGTGCATCCTGCATCCAAGGTTTTTCTAAAAGCACTCACCCCTGTATCGGGTGACGACACCTCAGCTTTGGTTCTGAACACACATGTGCACGTTGTACCATGCATGTGCACCATGCCATCACACCACATGAAGTCAGGGTACACTGTCTGAAACCGAGCTTGGATGCTGGGCTACTGTAAGCTCTGAACTGCAGTGTGTTCACAGGACACACCATGTTTTCTGCTCTTGTAGAAACATAATGGTTTAGTAACAGAAAAGAAGACATCTAGTATTTTCCTACCACCACATCTCAAGCATGTGAGGATAATCAGTACATCCTAGGACTGGATTGTATTAGGTAGGGTGCTTGGTTTACAAAACTGTTTTGTGTTGCTAAAGGACTCGATGAGTTTTGACCTGGGATTAGGATAAGATTTTCAACAATTTCTTTTTTAAAAATATGGAATAATTCATGTTAATATTTATTTCTAATTTATTTTATTTTATGTGCACTGGTGTGAGGGTGTCAGATCCCTTGGAATTGCAGTTATAGACAATTGTGAGCTGCCATGTGGGTATTGGGAATTGAACCTGGGTCCTCGGGAAGAGTGGCCAGTGCTCCTAACCACTAAGCCATCTCTCCAGACCCCGTTCCAATTTTAGTATATGTGTTGCTAAACAAGAAGTCAACAGGGCTGGAGAGATGGCTCAGCAGTTAAGGGGACTGCCTGCTCTTCCAAAGGTCTTGGGTTCAATTCCCAGCAACCACATGGTGGCTCCCAACCATCTGTAATGAAATCTGGTGCTCTCTTCTGGACTGCAGACATGCAAGCAGAACACTAGATATAATAAATATTAAAAAAAAAAAAAAAAGAAGTCAACAATATCTAAAATGGCCCTAAACATGCTTCTGCCACTGTGTACTATACATTTACGCAAAGTGGCACCCTCAACACTGACAATAAGAATGTTGCTCCCGAGTGACCCTCTGCTGTTCTCTTGTAGCAGATCTTACCTGTATTTTTAACATTACTTCTGAATAAAATCCCTTGCTGATAGATAGATAGATAGATAGATAGATAGATAGATAGATAGATAGATAGATAGATAAATGGAGAAGTTTCTCAAGCACAAAGGTCAGAGTGGAAAAGTTTACGAAGCCCTCATGTAAGGCAGACATGGGTAGAAAGACAAGTGCAGGGTGTGGGAACGCCTTCAGTTCATCAGCCAGCCCCATCTCTCAGGTCATGTACATTTCCTACCTGCACAGTGATGGCTGCCTTCTTAGTCATAGTCTGGTACATGCCGATGAAGGCTACGTTGTTATCTAGATCATAGACAGGACACTACAGAAGAAGGAAGAAAGAGGCAGATGGACATGGAACTGGGCTCTGGTCCCTTTTTCTAATGTCCCAATTACTTTCTGGTAGAGGATAAAATGAGAGACAACTTACTAGGACATCCTGGATGGAGATGACTGAGCAGGGGAAGGCCTTCTTGGATGTCACTTTGACAATTACAGAGTCTACACCATCAGGAAACTCATATTTGAAGTACTGAGAACACAAGAAGGGCAGGAAGAATGCTATCTCAGAAGGGTGCTTTCTTTGTTCCTCTAAGAAAGGATCAGTCTCCTACAAAGGAGATGCCAGGACCTTCTTGGTTCAGGCAATAAAGCTACCTGGGGAGAAGAGCCTTGACCACTCCTGCATGACCCTGAGCTCTAATCTCCTGCCACCTCAGCTGGGCACACAGAACAGAGCCTGAGAGACAGAGTGGGAAAGATAGCAACCAGACCCTATCACTGCACTGTCCCTGCCCATCTCTTCATATAGGAGCTCCAAGAGTCCCTCTACAGAGACTGGATTAACTTTGGTCCCAGTAATCCCAAAGACTGCTCCCAAGTCTGCCCCCAATTTTCTTTTTGTTGTTGTTGCTATCTTGCTATGGGGTTTCTGTGTAGTTCTGGCTGGTTTGGAACTCACAATGTAGACCAAGCTGGCTTTAAACTCAGAGATCCACCTGCCTCTGCCTCTTGAATGCTGAGATTAGGCATGTGCCACCATGCCAAGCTAAGAGATCCCCATTTTTGACAAGGGATTTTACCTGGGGCTGGGCTGCAGTGGTATTGAAGGTAAATGGCTCTCCAGTCCTATAGAGCAGAGAAGAACCCTAGTCACTCCCAACTCGTGGGACGAAGACTAGGGTTTTATGGTGCCTTCACTCTACACCCAATACCTGAGTACAAAATTGTCCACTCTGTTGACTCGGAGCTGGTAAGTGGTGTTGACTGGTGACAGGGTGGACACATCCACATAGAAAAACTGGACCTCTGACTCATTCTTGGTGGGGGGCTGACACAGAGTTCGTTCAACTTTTTGGTAGAGGTACTTACGCTGATACCTACGGTCCAAGACAGAGAGGGTGTGACTAGTGCCAGCCAGCCTGGCACTATAAGGAAATGAGGCTCCAATTCTTTCTAGCATGCCCCCAAACCTCCCAAGCCCTAGGTTGACCAAGTTGGCCCTCATGACACTGGGCTCAGGGAGGAGAAACAAAAGGCTCTCAATGTTCCCCACAAGGCCTGGCTAGGCAGCCCCTCCCTTCATGCCCAGGTCCTACTCACAGCCCTCGCAGGATTAGGGGCACCTGGAAGGATACAACAGCCTCTTTCTGGCGGACCACGAACAGCAAAGGTGCCCCCTTCTGCTTGTTCAGGATGTTCACAGAAACTCGCACGCCCTCAGTCTGCAGATGACAAGGAAGTGCTCTCAAACTCGGCCCCACTGTCCCTCAAACACATGACTCTACAGGCTGCATGCCCTGTGCTATCCATGCTGACCAGCCAGGACACCACTATACTTCTCCTTGTGTGGCAATAAGCTGTCTCTAGAAGGGGCTGGCACTGAGGGATATGAGGCCCGGGGAAGCTCGATTGCTCTTGGAAGATGTGGGTTCGTGGGGCAGCAGGTCAAAGACAACTGCAGGGTATGCAGAAAAGCCCTTAGGAGGTCCCAAGATAGTCCCTGTGCACACACATGGACATGTACACATGTATGCGCACGTGCCTGTGTACAAACTGACAGAGGAGAGCAAGAAATGTCCTCAATCTTCCTCTTTGTGAACTAGGAAACCAGCAAGAAGCTCCGGTTCCAGGACTACTTTGGAGGCCAGAGCCCTGCAGGGAGGGGCCGACAGGAACAGTGCAGAGTGTTGAAATGCAAGTTGCATCTCTATTTCTGACCAAGGGCCAAGCTGTGAAGTGGATTTATGTTGGAACCTCAATTCTCCCCCTCCAAATAACCCATCTTTTGCTGTGGATGAAGCCACACAGGACAGTGAGAGTTTGAAAGTGATGAATCACAAGAATGTTACTGGTTCCTAGGCTGCTGAAACCAAATCTAGGGGTAGCATTCCCCCAAGGGGTAGAAGCCACTTCTAGGAAGACCCCTAGATACCGGGACAGGAAGAAGAGATCAAAGTTCAGGGAATGGATTCTGATGGTAGATCCTGGCCTGCCAGAAACCAAAGTCCTCTCCATCCCCAAGAAAAACTCCAGATGCCTCGTTCTAAACTCCACTGCTTCCCCATCAATCCGGGTCTGGCGTTGGAGAGAAAGCAAGAGAGCTAGGCAGGAGGCCACACAGCCAGGCAGCAGGCATCCTCCAAGGCTGCACCCTGCCTGGGCCCATGCCTGCCTTCTACTTTCACTACTGGGGAGAAATGAGTAAGAAGAAGTCAAACAGTTCTGAGCTTGAAACAAACTCCCTTTTCTCCTGCCACTCTGATTGAGCTTGCGGAGGACCTTATCTCTGTCATCGTCAACGTACAAGGCCAGCTGGCTTTCTGAGTGAGGCAAGGAGGTCTGCCTCCTTTACCTCCCTGTGGAGTGTGGCGGTAATTTGCTGGAGGAGAGCTTTTCAGTTCTAAGTTGGCCCCAACCGGAGTTGTCTGAACAAGCCCAGTAGAAGCCAGCTTCCCTCTCACCCCGACATCACACAGCTTCCAGGTTGGAGCCAGGGTAGGGAGCAGGGTAGACCTGTCCGGATCACAGCTGGTGGCAGGGAACTTCGCAAGCTACCCAGCTGGAGCTACAAGAAAAACTGGGGGAAACGAGGCCCGGGCAAGGGGAGGGCGGCTTGGAGGCTGGCGGAGAGGGCAGGAGTGGCATCAGGGCAGGGCTGGGCACCCACCCTCTCAGCCGCCCTGTGGCAGTGGGGCCCCGCACTCACCCGGTTGCGGGTCACGGTGTGATTGAAGGTGTAGATGTTGAGAAGCTCGCTGTTGACGTCGTCCGCGTAGGTGCGCTCAAACTCCGCGTCTTTCTGAGAGACGTTCTTGGGCCCCAGAGCCCCCAGGTGGCTCTCGACGGCGACCACCAGGAGCGCGCACAAGGACAGACGCCGGGCGAACATGGCCCGGGGCGGCGGGGGTTGGCGACAGGACGGCGACCGGGCGCGTTGCGGCTGCCGCAGCAGCTTCCAGCATCTCACCGGGACCAGAACTTTAACCCCGGCCAGAGATAGGACGCGTCCCCTCCCTGGAGCCGCTCCTGGGCCTCACGCGGACCCCAGCTCGCGTGGGCGGCACCGCGACCCACAATCCCGGCCCGGCCCGGCCTGGCCCGGCCGGAGACCCGGCGTCCGCTCGCGCCGGGAGAGCGGAGGCGGCGGTGGCCCTGGCCCGGAAGCTTCCCGGACGCGGGCCCTTTAAGGGCGGCGGACGCGGCGCAGAACTCTGGTCCACCAGGCGCCGCGCCGCGGTAAACAGCAGGGCTGCGCCCGCCCGCCCGCTGACGTCAAGGGAAACCGACGCGGGTTTAAAGGGCCAGGCGGCCTCTAACTGCTTTCCACGCTGCGGTCGCCGCCTCCTTCTCCGCCCTGCGAGTGTCTGGAGTGATTTTTTTTTTTTTTTTTTTTAAGAATCATTAGGTGTTGGATTCTTGCTTTTGTGGTCGGCGATTTTTTTATTTTTTGAGAATGGGTCTCACATAGTCCTGGCTGGCCTGAAACCGATTGTGTAAGCTTAAGGGCCTTGAACTTCTGATCCTCTCCTGCCTCTATCGCCTAATATTGGCATTACAGGCAAGAGTCACAGCATGCTGGGTCTTGTTGACAGATGTTCTCTTTGCTCAAGCAGGAATTGCCCTCCCCCACCAAAAACAAAAAAATATTAACCCCAGCCTCGTTCTTTTTTTTTTTTTTTTTTTTTTTTTTTTTTGTTTGTTTCTCACTGGTTCATAAAAACTGAAGAACCACCTGCCCACTAAATGGAACCTCCCCACCCACTACAGGGGCCACACTGTTGCCAGGCCTACGATGCCCTCTAACCTGTCGCTATTTCCCTTCTCCGTAGAGGCTGGTTTTGTTTTGTGGTGTTTTGAGACAGGGGCTGTCCTGAAACAGATCCACCTGCCTCTGCTTCCTGGGTGTTCCGACTAAAGGCACATGCCACCACCGAGTGGCCTCTTTGTTTTTACAAAGCCCACGGAAAGATTCTAACCTTTAGGGTCACTTAGCAGAAACTTTTTGATGAAATATTTTAGCACCGTGTTTCTAGAGATTTAAGAGAGCTAAATACCTTTAATCCAGCCATTCCACTCCAGGTACTGTGTCCTGGGAATAAATGCTAACAAAATGTGTGGGCAACAATTTGAGGACAGCCTAGTATAAAGGAAGTTCCAGAACAGTCAGAACTGTTACACAGAGAAACCCTGTCTTGAAAAACCAAAAATAAATGAAATTTTAAAAATTTTAATGTGTGATGGGTAGATGAGGTAGTTCAGAGGATGCTTGCCTGATGACCCAAGTTCCATCCCTGGGACCCTTAATGGTGATTCTGCAAGTTGTCATCAGACCTCCACATGCATGCTGTACAAGTGTACATGACACACACATATATACACAAATAAAGAAACACACACAAAAGGCCATAGGTTCAGGCCCGAGTATCAGAAGTAAATAACTTCCTACAATTAAATGTATTTCTTTAGACAAATTATGTCTAAAATATGGCCAATCCTGAAGCTGTCAGATGTCCTGGCTGAAAGCATGTAGGATAATGCCACCTCATCAGAGCACTATCCACTGGCAAGAATATACCAGTCTGGACATCTGGTACTGTCTTCCTACAGGAGCATTCTTCCAATGACCAGTTATAAATATTTATTCATTCCTACCAATATTTAATAAGCACATACTATGTCCCAAGAAGTCTTCCAAATTAGTGGGCAAATATGCAGAATTATAGCTGGCCTGTTCAAGTGCAGCATGCTTGAAGAACTAGACCACAGCAGAAACAACAAATTCCAGCTATTTGGGAGGCTGAGGCATGGGAGTTCCAAGTACAGGTTAGCCTGAGTAATATAACAAGCCTGATCAACAACAGGACAATTTGCCATTGTACAAATGTGTCAAGTAAAGTCCAGAAAGTTCATTAGTAGATTACTATGCTCGTCCTTTTTTTTGGGGGGGTAGGGATAAGGGTAAGAACTAAATTCAGGGTTTGATTCATGCATGCTAGCCATCTGTTCTGCCGCCAGGCTGGAGTCCCTACTTCTGCTCTAAGTTCTTGCACCTTATTTCTGTACTCATACCAGCACATCCCAACAGGCCTGGGTCTGAAGACCATCAGTATAACAAGAGTTAGTTCAGAGCAAGCTCTCCAAACTACTGGCTGTCCCACTTGAATAATCAATATGGAATTTCCATGTGTCAGTTGGGTTTCACTTCCTTTCTAGTTGTTGTGACCCCACCATCTTGCCAGTAAATACTCAAAACTCCAAGAAACACTTTGACACTGACCTCAGGGCTTACTCCCAGCCTGAGATCATTTAAACTGTTTACTATAGGTCAGGACCTTGCCTGGGGGCTGAGAGGAACATAGGCTTCAAGATCAGATTCTTTGCTACTCACTGGTTAGTGCTTTAAGTGTGCTAACTCAGGCTGTGGGTGGAGGTCAAGGAAACAGCATTCTAAATGGGACCTTTGGATGGTGCTATGGTACGGGGCAATATTACTAGCCACTATGAGGCAGAAGCAGAAGGATTGTGAATTCAAGGATATCCTGGGTTACACAGTAAGACCCTGTTAGAGATCCTAATCATAAATGTACATCTGGGGCTGAGACTCAAGAGCTTTTACAACAAAGTTGGAGAATGCCTCTGGGCACACTACTATAACCTATCCACATTCCTGCTTGGTTTCTTTCTTCTAGTAACTTTTCCCCTCTGGGAAGGAGGGAGGGCTGGGAGGCCTGTTGAGACAGGGTCTCTCTATGTAACCCTGGCTTGCTCAGCACCCACTGTGCAGGCTAGACTGTCCTCAAACACATGGTAGTCCTCCTGCCTCAAGCTTTCAAAGTACTGGGATTCCAGGCACTGGCCACCACACTTGGCTCTTTCAGAAGGGATCCTTCCCTCAGTCAAGGTCTCAAGGACTTAACCTCTGAATGGGCAAGACCCTGGTTACCTACACCCTGGACAAGGGCAGCAAGCCCAGAACTTTCCTCTGCTTCTGAACTTCCCTCTAGGGAGGGACCTGTTATGAATGAATAGGTCTTTTCTGAACCTTGTAGGAGAGGGGAGAAGGTGTGCTTGTGGGCTGCAGCAGTGAGCAGAAAAGGCAGAGCTGGGTTTCAAAGCCAGACAGATTTGTGGATGGTGCACCGGGAACCTGTGGAGGTCTCAGGAAAGAGTCCTGGCCTTCTGTGTAGGTCCAGCTACTACAGTCTCTGTCATGTTATACAAAAAGCTCAGCCCAGCCAGGCATGGTGAAACATACCTCTAATCCTAGCCTTGAAAGGTAAAGGCAGGAAGTTCTAGGCTAGCCTCAGCAACAAGGAACCCAGTCTCTAAAAACCAAAACCAAAACCAAACCAACAAAAGCTCAAGCCAATCTTGACCCTAAAGGGAAAGTCAGATCACAGGCCAGGGAGACGCCTAAGTTTCTGTGAGCCATCTTTCCTGAGCATAGAAGAAAAGGAACCATTCACAAGGTTCCCAACCTGGCATGGCCCTGGCAGATGACTTAACCAATTCCAATCCAGTATACATAATTTAGGAACCTATAGGGATGCAGCCATGTCTCTGGATGGCTGGCAGAATGAATACAGACTGTTATAACTTTAACCTAGAGAGAAAGGTTGCAAAACCAAGCCTCTGAAGGACACATACTTGAAGTTCTTTGTTCCCTGTGACTATGAGAAGGGTTATGCTTCAGCACTTTCTTCTGTCCCTTCCCAGCACCACCCTTGTGTCTGGTTCCCTCTCCCTCAAAGGCTATGAAAACAGCTTTACATCAGGCTAGGACTCAGTTAAACAAGACTTACTCTGCCATTCTGAGGAGTCTCAAATCTCTCATATAACTTCACAGGAAAAGGTTTTACGCATGGGTGCATAAATATGTACATGTGAATACTAGTGGTCAACCCTGGATACCATTCTTCAGGTTCCTTATACTATTTATTTGAGAAAGGGTCACTTGCTGGCTTAAAATTCATCAAGTAGGCTAGGCTGACCAGCCAGTGTGCCTCAGGGATCCTCCTACCCAACCACCACATCCATGGGACCATGAGTGCTTACCACCATGCTTTTACATGAGTGCTAGAGATCAAATTCATGTCCTCTTCCTAAAGGGGCAAGCACTTTATTATCTTCCACGCTCTTAGAAAAGAAATGTGAAGTTGAGAACTTGCCTAGCACATGTGAGGCTTTAAGTTTTATCCTCTAAATTGCCAAAAGAGGCAAGGCTGCTGGGTGTTAAGACACTGTCCTATAATTGTAGCATTCTTGAGCCAGGCTGGAAGGTTCTGAATTTAAGACAAGTGTGAGCTATATAGACTGCCTCAAAACCCAAAGGAAGCCTCTGATACCAGGAAGTTCTAACTAAAATCTTGCACCGCAGACCTTGGGTAAGTAAACTCCAAACATTCAAGAGCCAAGTCTCACCCACATTGTTCTTAATACTGCAGGTGGTTCAAATGCCTGCATGCATATCGTCGCTCCTTTCTTGTGTAGCCCTGGCTGTCCTGGAACTTACTTTGTAGGTCAGGCTGGCCTTGAATTCAGAGATCCACCTGCTTCTGTTTCCTAAGTGATGGGACTAAACGTGTGTGCCAGCACGTCCAGCTCTGTATATATATTAAACTATTGCCTAAAGGCCAGGAAGAGCAGCTTGGCTTGGTGGCATAGACCTATAATCCCAGCTAGTCAAAAGGCCAAGGCAGGAGGCCCACAGATTCAAGGCCTGCTTAAATAACTTAACAAGATCTGTATCAAAACATGAAAAGAGCCCAAGATGTATGTAGCTTAGTGGTAGAGCACTGGCCTGGTATGTATGAGGAGTCTAGATTCAATCTCCAGTACTGGGTGAGTACGTGGGTGAGGGGAGGAATTTTAAAAATTGGCAAGGGAAATGAAGTGTAATAGCTTTGAGCAAACGGGCAGGGCTTCCTGCCAGAGAAAGAACTGTCACTTTCCATTTCCTACAGCTCTCACCATTCATAGTGAGTCACCCAGGCCCTGTATCTGGTTCACTCTGGCCATATGACAGAACCGTAAGAGCTCTCCAGGAAAAGGTTGACTGGGCATCAGGTTGCAGGACACAATCAGATAAATAATAGATCAGTTCAAATCTGTGCCTCCAAGGATCACTGACAAGAGACTAGCAGCTCTCTTCTACCTACAGGAAAGCCTGAGCCTCAGGGCGCTGTTAAGGAGCTCTGCCCATCTCTTACACATCTACAGATCACA